GTGTGGATGTGGCACTTGGGAACATAGGTTAGTGATGGCCTTGGCAACAAACGTCTGTGGAGCTGCCTTTAGATTTTATATCCATGTTTGACCAGATATATATCTGGGGTCCAGAAGTGAGTTAGTTTTCTCGTTCTCAGGCTGGATGTAATGTACCCTGCAGGCATCCCTGTGGTCAAGATCCATCCTTGTTGGGGGGCAGTCCATCCCTGCCAGGCTGGGATCCACCCACAACCTTCCTGCAACCTGAGCAGCTCCAGTGTAGCCAGTTCTGCCAGTCTCCAGTGACATTTTACACCCTTGACAGGCTGTGCAGCACAGCCCAGCTGAAGCAGCTTAGCCCCATAGCTCTGGGATGCACAGCAATGATGGGATAATCCATTTGTGATTATGTGATAATATTTGTAATTATGTGATAATCCTGCTGCAGCTCCCACCTGGAGTTCTGACCTTGGGACAAACTGCATTCCCCATCACAGATAGAAGGGGGGGTGTGGGCAGGGAGAACACAATTGTCACATCGCCCCACACACTTTTAGGAGCAGGAGTTGAGTGTGAGGTTTGTCAGGGTACCTGCAGGAAGGGTAGTAGAAAGAAGTGGGGTACAGGAGGGTGCAGGGGTGTGAGAGGTGTTGGGGGGGGTTGTTTCCTGGCCAGGGGGTTGTGGTTCTGTGGGTGGGACACTCAGAGTTTCCATCCGCAGCATGAAGCAATGCTGGTGCTGCTGAGGCTCTGCCCCCCCAGCCTGGGCACAGCCTGCGATCGAATTTCCTTTGGCTTTGCCCTTCTATGGGCAAAAACCCCTTCAGTGGAAGCTTTTGGGCTGGACGCCTGCTCTTGTGCTCTTCCCAGCCCCGTGGGCTGTGTGGAAGCAAAGCCAGTGCTGGTCCCACAGCAGATGTCATTCCTTGGTTGTCCACCCTGAACTTTGCCAAGTGTGACAGGACCCAGTGGTTTGTAAAGCTCCACCTCCTGGAGTCCTGGGATGGGACCAGATTTAGGGGTTTGTCTCCCAGCAGGAAGTGCCTGCAGGCAAAAATCTGGAGAGCACAGCCCCCTCCCCCCTGAACACACATTTTGGGGAGTTTGAGCCAAAAATAAGAAACTTCAACAGGATTGTTTTTGTTCTGACTCATAGTGTTTGCATTCCCGAGCTCGGGAATCCATGTTTCCAGTGTGGGACGCCAGGGATGGCAGTGGGGTGCTCTCCTTGAGACAAGAATCGTGTTCAGCAGCACATGATGAGCAAAGTGAGATTTTTGGGAGGAGAAATGTCACCCAGAAAGGACGAGGAGCTGGCGCAGGCAGTGTTGTTTTGGGAGAGGAGACCAGGAGCAGGTTCCTTCCTCTTCTCTGGCGTCTGAGGCTCAGGATGGACTTAACAGGCTGGTTTGAATGGGGAATGACAATCTCACAGCCACATTTGGGATGGGAAGATGCACACTGAATGGGGCTGGAGCACCTCTGGGTCCCCAGGGTTGTGGGGTAAGAAGTTTTTAGCTCACCTTGTGGTGAGGGAGACTTTTGCTTCTCAGCTACAAAGTGAATGCAGCTGGGGCTGCGATGCTTCTTTCAGCTCCTGAGGTTCTCCCAGCCTGTGTCCCCTGTGGATCCTTGCCTAAAGCCCAGGGACCTGTCAGCATGTCAGGATCTTCTCTGAATGTAATGGGGATCCTGAATTCCACAGGGATCTGGGGCAGAGGATCTGGCCCTGGCAGAGGTCAGGTTTGGAGGTGTTGAGTGATCTGTCAACTCTGAGTAGGATGTTTGGGCCATCCCCGGGGTGAAGAGCAGGAACAGCAGCCCCCAATGCCCAAGGGCAGGAACATTGCATCCTGGACCCTTCCTGGGTAGAGCTGTTACTGGGAGCTAAACACACCACCATGACCCAGCTTTCCCCCCAGCACAAAGGAAATGCCTGAAGGCTTGCAGGCTCTGGAATGCTCCTCGGCCCCATCTGGCCCACACATGTCTGTTCGGCACCGTGCCTCAAGGAAAAGCAGGAGACTTCCCAACATTCCCCACCTCCTCTTGCTGGCCTCAACACTGGGGCCCTTCAGCTGCTCCCACTAGCCCTGCACTGTGCCCGCCACCACCCTGAGGCCACTGACCTACGTCTCTCCACAGGGAATGACATTGCACTGCGGAAGCTCTCAGAGCTGCAGGCAGGAGAGAAGTGCTGCGTGGTGGGGACGCTCTTCAAGGCCATGGAGCTCCAGCCCTCCATCCTGCAGGAGATCAGCGAGGAGGTAATGGGCTCACCACCTCTTCCTCCTCCTCTGCACAGTTTGGGGGGTTGTGCCAGCACACTTCAGAGCTCAGCTGGGTTTCCATGGCTTCCCTGTGCTTGTAGCCAGGGCACTGGCAGGGATTTGAGCAGGATGGCCTTTGCCCAGCCTGTCCCTGGATGCCACCTTTGTGCCAGCATGTGTGTGTGTGTGTTTGTGTTCCTTATGAAATCATGGAAACATGGAATGGGTTGGGTTGGAAGAAACCTTAAAACTCATCCATGGGCTGGGATACCTTCCACTAGCCCAGGTTGCTCCAAGCCCCATCCAGCCAGGCCTTGAACACTTTCAGGGATCCAGAGGCAGCCACAGCTTCTCTGGGCAACCTGTGCCAGGGCCTCACCACCATCACAGGGTATTCCTTCCCCATATCCAATCTAAACCCACCTTTTTTCCATCTGTCCCTCCCTCCTGCTTGCCACCACTTGCTCAGTGATGCTTTTCCAGCGCTCAGTGAAACTGGCCCATATGGGGGGTTCCAGCTGCCAGGGCCCCCAGCTGGTTTGTTGGCTGTACTGGTGATGGGGGTCTGGGGTTGGGAAAGGTCCTTGGGGCCTGCTGGTCCTTGCTGAGGCTGTCAGAACTGTCCCTGTGCTCTCGCAGCACAACCTGGTGCCTCAGCCACCCCTGCCCAAGTACATCCAGCCCTCTGACGAGCTGATCCTGGAGGATGAGCTGCAGCGGATCAAGCTGGAAGGAGCCATTGATGTGCAGAGGCTGGTGACAGGTAAGGGACAGTGGTGGCTCTGTGGTGGCACCCACCCTGCAGGTGCTGGCCAGGGTTGACCACCTGCTCTGCTATAGGGACCATCTTGGCTGTGTATGGCTCTGAGCAGGACGACGGCAGATTCCTGGTGGAGGATCACTGCTTCACCGACTTGCCGCCACCACTGCCCTGGAACGGGCCCAGCTCTGACCGGTGAGTCAGCAGCAGCAGGACTGGGGCTGGCAGTGTGTCCCTGCTGTGTCCCTGAGCCCCTTGTCCCAAGAGGGCTGGCAGGTGTCTGGGCCCTCTGCCCCAGCTCTCTGAAGCCCTTAAGTTTGGGAGCGTGGCACTGCCTGAGCCTCTCCATCCATCCAGGTTTGTGCTGCTGGCCTCAGGACTGGGGCTGGGCAGTGTGAGTGGGGAGGCCCTGCTGAGCACTCAGCTACTGGTGGATGTGGTGACGGGGCAACTGGGTGCAGAGGGCGAGCAGAGCTGTGCTGCTCACATCACCCGTGTCATTCTGGCTGGGAATCTGCTGAGCCAGAACACACAGAGCCGAGACACCATCAACAAGGTACAGCAAGGAGGGAGCTGCAGCCTTCGTGGTGCTCCTGGGGCACTGGGAGGGTGTGGAGAGAGGGAAGAGGGGGTGCAGGATTGTCCCTCACTGTCTTCCCGCTCACCTAGGCCAAGTACTTGACCAAGAAGACCCAGGCTGCAAGTGTGGAGGCTGTGAAGATGCTGGATGAGATCCTGCTGCAGCTCTGTGTGAGTGCTCAGGGTTGGCCAGGGAATCAGGTTCCTTTGGGGGAGGGAGCCTAGTTCCTGACATGGGGTAGCAATCAGGAGTGCAGGGTGGCAAAACCCCCTTCCCCAGCAGCCAATTTCCCTTTGAGCACCCAATATGGGGAGGTAGATTACAGCCCAGCTCCAGATCCTTCTCCTGGGATCTGGTGGAGCGAGGTGCGGTGTCCTGGGAAAAAGGAGCAGCAGTGACACCAGCGCTTTGCTCTGAGCCCCCTTGGAGGGCACTTTGGCCACCCAGTTAGTCCCTGTTCTACCCACAGAGCTCCGTGCCTGTGGACGTGATGCCCGGCGAGTTTGACCCCACCAACTACACGCTGCCGCAGCAGCCCCTACACCGCTGCATGCTGCCCCTGGCCGGTGCCTACGCCACTCTGCACCTCGTCACCAACCCCTACCAGGCCAACCTGGACGGTGTCAGGTAAACTAACCTGGTGCTCTGGTGACTGTCAGTGGCGTGGGACCATGGGACATGTCCCAACATGCCCAGCATCTAAAGCTCTCCTTCTTTCCCCCATGATGTAGGTTTCTGGGGACGTCAGGACAAAACATCAGTGATATCTTCAAATACAGTAGCATGGATGACTACCTGGAGATCCTGGAGTGGACACTGCTGGCAGGACACATCAGCCCCACGGCCCCAGACACCCTCGGTATGGTGAGGGCTGGGAGGTTGTTGAATGGGGGGCTTTGCCAGGGGCTCCCCCCTAATTCCCATCTTCCCCAGGCTGTTACCCGTTCTACAAATCTGACCCATTTATCCTCACCGACTGCCCTCACGTCTACTTCTGCGGCAATGCGCCCCACTTCCAGTCCAAGCTGCTCCAAGGTGGGTCTCACAGCACACCCAGATCATCGTGGGGGTTGGAAACCCGCATTGGGGGCTGCTGGGGGACTCCTCTGCCTGACATGCACTTGTGTTTGCAGGGAAGGAGGGGCAGCGGGTGCTGCTGGTGACAGTGCCAGACTTCAGTGCCACACAGACTGCCTGCCTCGTCAACCTGCGCAACCTCACCTGCCAGCCCATCACCTTCTCCAGCTTTGGAGCTGACAGTGAGGATGGGGACATGGAAATTGGACACTGACCATAGGGAGGGCACAGACTCCACAAGCCCCCACCCCTCAAGGGGTCCTGGCAACCCACTGCCTTTGTCCTCTGGGAGGGTAACAGCTGGGTGGGGAAGCACTGGAGGGACAAGATGTTCATACCAATATAACTTGATTTATTTGTGTAACAAAAACTATACAGAGGGGAGAAAGGCTGTGCCTGCCTCCATGGGCCCTGCCCAGGAGAGCAGTACCAACCCTGCCATCCCACTGGGACATGGACAGTGGGCTGGCACTGCCCAGCTCTGAGGGATGGGGTAGCACGTCCCTGACAGCACCCAGCTGTTGGCAATGCTGTCGACAATCCTTGGAAGCAGCAAGGTGAGGGGCTGGAGCCCACCTGGAACAGCTGCCTGGGCTCATGGAAGATGTTGGAAGCGGATGCCGAAGCGTCCGACCATGGCTTGAAGCAGAGTGAGGGGTCAAGTGTTCCTAGTCCCCAAAGTTCACGGTGTAGGTTTCGGCTGTGGTGAGGGGCTGCGCCGTCCCCGTGTGCAACTCCCAGCCCTCCGTCTCTGTCACCAGCTCGGTGACCACCTCTGTCTCAGTGTCCATCTCCCAGGTGCCAGCAGTGGGTGGCTCCTGGCTCCAGGGTGTGTAGGCTGTGCTGCTGAAGGGGAAGGGCAGGGCTGTGGTGGACGGCGGGGCTGTGGGGCTGCTGCTGGCCATGGTGGCATTGAGGCGCCGCAGCCGCATCTGCTCCCGCAGCCGCATGCGGTGCCGCAGCCGCATCTGTAGGCGCAGGCGCTCACGGGGCGTCATGGGCCGGCCAGGCACCACACGGCGGATTGGCCGGTTCCCGTTCATGGCCATGATCTCCCGGATACGCTTCCAGTTGGAGCGGGACAGGACAAAGTTGCACTGGGTGGCCCCGATGTCGTAGAGGACATGGCAAGTCTTGACGCTGGGGTTGTAACCCTCGGCCCGTGCTGACACGCGGTACTCGCCCGGATTCAGGATGCGCCAGTAGTCTCCACCGCTGGCTGCGGATACAGGAGGCAGCAGGGTGGGGTGGGGGTGGCATGGTGCTGCCAGTACCCTGCCAGCACTTCACAGTACCTACCTGTCCTTACGTTGTGATTGATGCCACCCACCACAATGGTGGCATTGGCAATGGGCTCTCCCTGCTGGTCTGTCACTACACCCTTGATTCCCCGGTGGATCTGGGTGAGGAAAAGGGATGAGTGGAATTGTGTGGGACAGGTGGGGCAGCTGGGCCATGTCCCAGCACACACCTGCTCCATGAAGGTGAGCAGAGACTCCTTGTTGTTCTCCCATTCCTGCTGCAGCTCAGTCTCATGGGGAAACTTGTCACAGCCCAGGTAAATGGAGAGCTCCAGGCAGTTGGTGTGCAGGTAGCTGAAGTCATTCATACCTGCAAGAGCATAGACATGCCCAGACTTGCTCACTTGCCAGTGGCCAGGTTATGGGGCAGCCACACCACTGGCCCCAACTTACTGCCAGCCCGGGGGTGCCACTTAGCACCCTGCACGATGCCCATGGCATCGGTTACATCCTGTGCATGGCAGCCTCCACGGAAGGTCTCAGTCATGGTGAGGTGTGCCGAGGCATAGGAGATGGCAAGCCAGCGGAACACAGCATGGTCGGGTGTCTCCTGCAGCTCAGGGCGCTCATCCTCATAGTCCAGTGGACGAGGGGCAGCTGCCGGTGTTGGGGGGCTGGGCCGGGCCGTGTCGAAGGGGAAGGACACCAGCTTCTCCCCACCCTGCAGGTTGGCTCCCAGTACAAAGGGGTTCTTGTCCATCCATGCTATGACAGCCCGTGTCTCTGCTGCCACCTGTGAGGCAGGCACGGGCAATGAAATGTCACCCCCTGCCACCCTCTCCCCATCCCTCTGCCCTACGCCACACTCACCGCCGCATCCTCAGACAGGTAGTGCTCCGGGATAGGGATGTGATGGTTGGGGAACTGGTGGGGCACCAGCCGCCTCTCCTCAGCTGCCCACAGTGCTGAGGCCAGGTCAGGGAAGTTCTCAAAGAGGTCAAAGCCTTCCTCTGTCCAATGGCCCAGTGCCCAGTTGCCCAGTTCAGAGCCCTGTGGGCAGCCCAGGATACCGCTGAGTCTAGGGCGCCTGCATCCCACCACCCATGTCCCATCCCACTGCTGCAGGTCCCATCCCCTCCACTGACACATCTCAGGTGCCCAGCTTGGAGCCCTGTGGCCAGCCCAGGGCAGTAGTGAGCTGTAAGGGGGGCCTGCCTCCTACTGCCCCACAGCCCATCCCAGCACCCCACATCCCACCCCACTGCCTCATGGCCCATCCCACCCCGCTGCCCCCTCACCGCCTCATGGGCCAGCTCGTAGCCGTCAGGGTTGAGGGACGGGACGAGGTGGATGCGGGTGTCGGTGACCAGGCCCCGCACGCGGGGATTCCCATCCTGGTACTCCTTGCACAGGAACTGCATCAGCAGCAGCAGCAGCTCCCGGCCCAGTGCCTCATTCCCGTGCAGCCCCGCCGTGTACCGGAACTCTGGCTCACCTGCAAGCAGGGGCCAAGGAGGGTCAGCAAACACCTGGGACCATGGCTGGGGGCCACCAGTCCCTCACACCTCCCTCACCCGTCTCATGCTCGCCCGGGTTGTCGGAAACCTCCATGGCGTAGATCTTCAGCCCCCGTGAGCTCTTGCCTATGTTGTAGATGCGGGTGATGGTGGGACACTCCTCATTCACCACCTTCATCAGCTGCAGGGTGGGGAGAGATGGGGGCAGTGCTTGGGGGGCATGAGCCCACACCCTGCAGGGCATGCCACACCTATGGAGGATCCCACCCCATGAAGATGTCCACCACCACGAAAGTGCCCACAACCACAGAGAATGCCATGCCCCAAAGATGTGCCCACCACCACAGAGGTGTCCACTCCTCATGGAGGATCCCATCCCACAGATGATCCCACAACCATCAGTATTCCAACCCCACAGAGGATCCCACTCAGTGGATTTGTTCACAGAGTACTTCATCCCCTACAGAGTATCCCAGCCTCCCCAGCAGGGCTCACCTGCCTCATGTCCTTGTAGGAGTGGTGTCGGAAGTCCAGGTTGTCCATGGAGGTCACCTCATTCTGCTGGGTGTAGTAGCTGCTGACAGCTGAGGACAAGGACACAGCAGCAGGGAATTGCTGGAGTGATCCCACCCCCCGTGCCCCCCAGGGTGCTTTGGGGTGACTGTTACCAGAGAGGGGGCACCCCAGGACCTCAAGGCGCAGGCAGAGGCTCCCGTTCCAGCGCTGGGGGTAGATGCGGATATACCGGGCCACCACTGGCTCAGGGAACTCGCTCAGCACTGGCGTGTCCTTGTCCACGTTGCCGTAAAACATCTGCCAAGGAGGGAGAGATGTACCCAAGAGGGTCCCCCCGTTGTTCCCATGTCACCCGCCCAGAACAGGTCCCCACCATCTCCTCATAGCCATTGCTGTACATCACCCAGTGTTGGCTGTCGTTGCTGAAGCCCACATAGAAGCTGGTGACAAAGTCATCACTGTGGGAGGACAGGGACAGGTTGAGACGGGGTCCCCATGCTGCTCCCCTACCCCACATCCCCGTCTCCACCCCCATATCCCCATACTGGATCTGAGAGTCGCGACCCTGGGTGACGACACCGGTGAACATGGTGATGCGGCGGGTGTCCACCTCGAGCCAGTGTGCCCGGCTGTCATCCTCAGCACACCATGCCCCATCAAAGAAATCATCCTCGTTGGTGCCTGCCTGGGGAGCAGTGAGTGATGTGTGAGTGGAGGTGTCACCGTGACCCGTGGGGTGGGTGCTGGGGGTGACCCTCACCTGCATGTTGAGGCGGCCACGCTGGGCACCCAGCCCATGACGCAGCATGGAGGAGGCCAGGATCTGGTCATCCTCGATGCGGTGGGACTCCAGCCCGATTGGGGGACACCCTGCAGACAGCAAGGGGTAGGGGGTGATGGGCTTCCACCCCCAGCATGGTGTCCCTGTCACCCCAGGAATGGGGATGCTCACTTTTCTTCTCTGCTGGAGGGGTCCATTCCTCCTCATCTGGATCCCCCTTCTTTCCTCCTGATTTTTTGGGTTTTCCTGGGAAAGGAAAAGGCACAGTGAGGGGGGCAGGGACAGGGACAGGTGTGAGGGTACAGGAATGGGGACTGGCACTCACCTTTGCGGTCCTGGCCCTTCTCCTCCACCCAGCGCTCCTCCTCCTCCTCCTCCTCCTCTTTCTTGGGCTTCACTGTTGGTGAGGTGATACCCACCCCAGGGACATGACACCAGTACCAGGAACATGCCACCCACCCCAAGAACGTGCCAGTGAGCTAGGGGCATGACACCCACCCCAGGAACATGCCACCTCCCAGGGGATGTGACACTCACCATGCAGACATGTCACTCACCCCAGAGACATGCCTCTCACTCCAGGGATGTGCCACCATCCCTGAAGACATGACACCCACCCTGGTGATGTGCCACCCACCGTGGGGATTTGACACCCACCATGGGAATGGAACACAGCCCAGGGACATGCCATCCTCCCTGTGGCTTGCCATCGACCCTGGGGCACACCTGCCCACCACGGAAACATGCACCCCCACTCCCACTGGGCCCTGCCCAGCCTTCTCCACCCCTTCTCACAGGGTCTGATTTTCTCCTTGTCCGTCTCCATCCTGTCCTCTTTGTCCGGATGTTCATGGGTCTTCGTCGGGGGGGGCAGCCCGTAGGTCCCTGGAGGGCACAGAGTGGGGCTGGGACAACCTTCTGGAGATGGGAAGGGCAGGGATTATTGGGGTGCTGGGGTGCCTTATCCTTCCTGGTTCATCACTCACAGTCATCGTAGTCAGGTGGCTCGAAGCCCTCGCCATAGTCCCTTTCAGTCACCGGGCCAGGCAGGGGGGGCTGCGGGAGGGGC